CTATGACTTTTGAGCAAAAAATGGCTTCTCTGAACAGGGGAGGAGGAACAAGGAGAGAGGGTAAGTTCGACGTATATCGCGAGAAAATACTCCAGGCGGTGTTCGCTAATTAGCGATAAGCGAAATACATTACTCGTTCTTCTCTTGCTTTCTCGTCTATTATTCTCTCTCTCTCTCTCTATTCTTCTCTTGTCTTTTTTTTTTATATAATTTTTATTCCCCCTTTTTTTTTGTTATTTTACGATGCTGAGCAAAAATCGATTTAATTTAATACGGATTAAAGCCTCCTCGCTAAAGGCCTCCTCCACGCTTACGAGCACCGACGAGGAATACAAGAAACTCTCTCCTGTTCCTTTCGTTTCCTTCGTCGATTTTCACGGTGTGGGCATTCGAAATTGGGGGAGAACGAGCTTAATTTCTAGTTGAACGCTCGACAGGATCGATTGGAAGTTTGTTTGTTATTGCTACGTGGTCTTTAATCCAACTTTATTAGGAAATAATTGTCAACGAGATAATTATAAATTCTTTCGTGCTTTCGATGTGGTATACTTTAATTATTTTAATTATTATAAAATAAAAAAATAACGAATATATATTTTTGTCTCGATAAAACATATCTTGAAATTTTTGAAGATGATCATCTTCGATTCTTTTCTACAAAATCATCGCGAGAAAATACTTTTGTTTCTATTGGTAATTGATTGATAAAAGAGATTTCTTTTTTCTTTTCTTTTTTTTTTTTTAGTCTCGAAAAAATTGCTTTTTTTAATTACGCCTCTCTACAGCCATTCTACTATTCCGCCGCCATCTCCCTGCTACACTGAGGAGACGAGATTCTATTATACGAATATATATATATATATATACTTTACAAGGTTGAGCATTCGAATATCCCATAAAAAGTTTTATTAAATATTCTCGAAATTTGATATCCTCTCGCGGCTTCCGCTGCCACGCAGTTTGCCGAACAATTGACCCCGAGGAAATTAATTTGAGCCTGAGAAGGGTGCGTCTACCGGTTACTTTTCCCCTCGTTTGCAGGGAGGGAAGAGAAAAAGGATTTTCATCTAGAAAATCCTAGATCCACGATTCTCTCGAGCGAGAATATACATGTATCGCTCGGACAGAATGGAATGAAAACGAAGCGTGAGGAGTGAACGATTAAAATTTCGACGAAAGGAAATCAAATAATATCATGGAAAACATCGAATCATATTAAACAACATGAGCGTACAATAAATAATAATAATAATTCAAAGGAGAAATAAATTTTAAACAAGATCTCGAAGGTAAAATCAAATTCGATCTGGATTAATAGGAATAAAACATAAAAAAAAAAAAAAATAATTCCCTCGCGAATCGACGAACGTGAAAAAAAATTCACGTAGTAAAATGAGAAAATACCAGCTACACGTATGTGTACAATATCGACACGGACTTTTGATTTTTTTTTTTTTTTTTTTTTTCATACCGGCCGTTTCGATGCGTGCAAAGATCCTCGCAATGCACTTGAGTTGAGCCAACGGGGGGAGGGGGGATACGCCACGCTTTGAAAAGCGATAACCTCTCGTTAACGGTAATGAACGACGAGTTAACAAACGCGAATGAACGGGTCGATGAAGGGTTGAAAAGGAACCGACCAGGTAAAGAAACCTTTCAGAAAACCTTTCCCACCTTTGGTCGCCCATTTTTTCCATTTTTCTTCCCCTTCCCCCCCCCCCCCCCCTTTTTTTCCTTCTC